TCCAATGAGCTCCTGGCCAATTCCATAAGGTCATACCAACACTAGCCTCTGGTTATCTTTGGGTATTAAAATCATCCCCCAAATGAGTTGCTCTTCACATCTATCCTAACCCTGCCACTACACTACTGGTTTGTTCTCTCTCCGTCCCGCCCCCGCGTCCCGTCCCCACCCCCATACTGAATTGATTGAAAATAAGGACTGGTCAATAATATTTCGTATTTTACAACATCGCTTCACGGTGTCATAAGTTCAGCCAAGAAGGCCAGAAGGTTCACAGCAGTCTGACCCCTTCTGACCTCCTCACCTCTGTTTCAGGCTCCGCAGTGCGTCTAGCTGGCTCTTTTCACTTCCTCCAACAGCGCAGTTCGCCGTGGAACATTCAGGGCACTTGCAGCCTCCTGTCCCTAGAATGCCCCCAGCCAACTTCCCCTAGCGCACCACTCAGAGTGAGAGGTCTAGCTATTTAGGATAAAAATATTTACAGAAGGGCAATGCATCCTGCAGAATCACTAGGAGTCCTGAAAACACTGGGTGAGTTTCCAGAAAAAGACTCCCAGAGTCACGTCACTAAACAGGTCTGCCCAGGGAGCTGCTGCGGCAACCACCACGGGAAGCTGCTCCCTTGGCCAGAGTCAGGCCTCCGCTACGAAGCCGGGCGGGCGGTCCCGCTCATGCCGTGCGCTCGCATAGGGACTCACCCAAGAAGACAGAGATCGTTGGCAAAGGTCAATATTCATTAGAGAATTTAAATCAATATTTAGTAACTTCCCAAAACAGAAACCACCAGATCCAGATGTCTTCATTAGTAAATTCTACCAGACAGCCCTGGCTGGTGTGGCTCAGTGGGCTGAACACTGGCCTGAGAGCTGAAAAGTCGTCATTTTGATTCCGAGAAGGGGCACATGCTTGGACTGTGGGCCAGGTCTCCGGGTAGGAGCGTGTGAGAGGCAACTGTTTCTTGCACGATAATGTTTCTCTTCCCGCTTGTCTCCTCCCCTTTCCCGCACTCTAAAAATAAATAAAACCTTTTTAAAAATTCTACCAAATATTTAAGGAAAAATTATACAAATCTTTACAATTTGTTCCAGAAAATAGAAGCACAAAGAATTCTCCCTAACTCATTCTGCAAGGCTGGCATTATTCTGATACCAAAACCAAAGAAGAGATTACAAGAAAGGAAAACTGCAAACTGATATCTCTCATGAGCACAGGTACAAAAATCCGCAAAAATGTTAGCAAATTGCACCTAATAATGTAAAAAAGAACTGCAGCCAAGTGGAATTTATTCCAGACATGCAAAGTTGGTTCAATATTTCAAAATCAGTTAATGTCTTCTGTCCCATCAACAGGTTAAAGAAGAAAAACCATATGATACTAACAATAGATGCAGAAAAAGCACTTGACAAATTCAATACTTATTCATGATAAAAACTCTAAGCCAACTAGCCAGGATTTTCCTCAGCTTCATAAAGAACATATACAAAAAACCTACTGAAATCATACTAAATGGTGAGAAAACGAGATGCTTGTCTGCCAGTGTCAGGAACAACACAAGGATGTTCCCTCTCAACATTCCTATTCAACATTATATTGGAAGTCCTAGCTAATGCAATAAGAAAAGAAAGGGAAATACAAGTGTTCAGACTGGGGGAAAACGAAATAAAACTGTCTTTTTTCACAGATGACATGATTGTCTATGCAGAAAATCCCCCCAAATCAACAACAACCAAGGAAAACCTGAAACTGAGAAGCAGTTATAGCAACATTGTGAAATGCAACATTTAAATTCTTAATGCTGAAGGGATGAGAGAAATAAAAAATGCCAGTAATAATTGTTGCAGGCAAGAACATGGATTAATGCTAAAAATTCGTGAGTAGAAGTATGAGGAGAAATGGAATACTTGCATGGTTTCAGAGTAACTTTCCCCAAGATACTTACTAATTACAAAAGGAAAAATGGTAACTTTCGGGGGGTGATACCTGGCAGACACCACCTTCACCAAGTGATCAAGGTGTATGTACATCGATAGTAATGAGACCCATCAATATTTTGATATGTTTCCCTGAGAAAAGCACAGTGTCCCTTCTGTGATAGTCTTGCCCAAAATGTATACCCTCAATCTGGTCATGAGAAAACAACAGATAAACCCAATTGAGGGACATTCAACAAAAATCTGAGCAATGTTTTAAGGTCATGAAAAGAAAAGACAGGGTATGAAACTATCACAGATTGGAGGAGACCAAGGAGACATGACAACTACATGCAACGTGCATCCCTGATATGGACACTGGACTGGAAGAAAGACACTCATAGAAAACGGGGGCCATTCCAATAAGCTCAGCAGATGAGTTAATAATGTTCATTTCCTGGTTTCCATAATCATACCATGGTTCTATGTAGGATCTTAACATTTGGGGAAGCTGGAACTTCCCCAAGTTTCCAGGAACTGTACAATTGTAACTTTTCTATAAGTGTAAATGTATTTCAAAATAAGATGTTTTTCCCCAGAACAAGAGTATTGAGTAAGTTTCTCATATACAAAAAAATAGGAAACAGAAAGCAGCAGAAAACACTTCAACCATATCCTGAGACTGAAAATAACCACTGCTAAAAGGCTGAGTCTTTATAAGGATGAAAAATTTAAGGAAACTTTCTGAGCACTGACTATGCTCAAAGCATGTTGCATTGGAGAATGTCCATCCTATGTAAAACTGCAGCCCACCCCCCACCCACTCCCTCCTCTGAGCCCTTCTCCCTCTCTATTGCCTCTTTCTTCATTGCATTATCATCGCCTAACCTACTATATAATTTATTTATTGCCTTTTGTTTATTCCTGGTCTCCCTCCAATAAAACGAAGACCCATGAGCAGAGATGTTCATTTGGTTCACTGATACACTCCAAGTGCTTAAATTAGTCCTTGGGTGAAGAAGGCTGACAAGAGGCCATCGTGTACTTTGAATTCTTGGGGAAAACTCCTGAAAAGATGGGAAGAGAGAAGCAATGCGTGGTACCAACAGAGTCCTCGAGTGTTGCGGCCAGGATGCGATACCAGGGCCCACCACGATCAGCATATGTATGTGGATATCAGGATATGTACAACTGTTTGCCTGTTGTAGAAATAGCATATTTCGAAAGCTGAAGTGCTTAACAAAAGGCGACAGTCTAGCCCATGACCCCTGAACCTTGACTTAGGTCTAAAACAAACAGCTGTGAGAGCAAAAATCCCAGGCTGACAGAGATCCCTGAAGGTGCCTTAGTTGCTAGGGCTGTGTACTAGGTACAAAATCCCACAGAGTGGCTTAAACAGCAAGATGTATCATTTGATAATTCTTGTGGCCTGAAGTCTGAGATCAAAGTGCCGAAGTGGTTGTGTACACCTGAAGGAGAACTTGTTCTATTCTTCTCCCCAGCTTCTGGTGCTTTCCCAGCAATCTTTATGGCTTATGGAAGCGTAGCCTCAAATCCTGCCTTTGTCTTCTCGTGGTGTCCTCCCTGTGTGTGTGTGTGTCCAAATTTTCTGTTTTGATGAGGACACAAGCACTATTGGATTAGGCCCAACTTAATACTTTATCTTCGCCAATCACAGCCTCAAAGACCCTATTTTCAAATAAGTTTACATTCTGAGATACTGGAAGTTAGGACTTCAACCTAGGTATTTGGCACGGACCCACTTCAACCAACACAGGTCTAGCACTTGAAGTAAATCGCATCTTCAAGGTGAAGGCTGCCTAGAAGGCTGTTAGCATAGACTAGGTTGTGTGGCAGTCACTACCAATCTCAATGATCAGTGACTTAAAACAACAAAATTTCTTTCTCTTGGAGTCCACTGAGGGTCTGTGGGACTCTCCACAACAGGTTTCCTCTGTGGTCTGACTCAGATCCAAGCTGCTTCCCTCTTCCGGTTCCACCCTGAGGGTTGGTCCCGTCGCTTGGTTCAGACTGAAGCGACCCTCAGCAGCAATGCTCATGTGTTCTAACCAGAACCGGTGCCCCGGGCCTGCGTACCTGGAGGGGAGCGCGGGGAAGGTGAGGGTCAGGTGGGAGATTTATGAGAGCCATAGCCTCTGCCACGCTGACTTCTGGGGGGCTGGTGTCAGGGAGCGTTTACTCAAGGGCATGGAAACTAAATTTTTCACGTGTATTGGAGGGCAGGGAAAAAGATATTTGCTTTAGAAATTAAAGCCAGACCCACCGTGTCCCGGACAGGTGAAGAAAGAACAATAGATCCAGGAAGCATTAATCGGTTCCGTCTCCAAGCAAGTAACCACTGGGATAAGGCAGAGGCAACACGTGAGGGCAAACCATGGCAGTCTCTGGATATTCCAGAAGGGGAGGAGAAGGAGAAGAAGAAGAGGAGTAAGAAGAGAAGGTGGAGGCGCTGGCGCAAGTCAGTGAGAAGGGACCATTTGCTTCATTGCACCCCTGACCATGCTGCGGTCCCTAGCGGGGCAGGACGATCCCCCTTTAGAGGCTCACACGGGTCCTGGCACTTTGTAGAGGTTGAGTACGTACTTCCTGTGAATGAATGATCGATGGCATGAATGAGCAACAATAAACGTCCCCCTTTCTAAGCCCAGATGCCACATTTAGTGGATAAAAAGAGCCACGGACCCGTGCCCATGCAGATGATGCCCGGCCAGTAGCAGCAGACACCTCAGCCTCTCATGAAGGTGGTTCCACGGAGGTGGCCGGTGCTCACCACCAGAGCGGGCTATGGGAATTTACTCAGTCACAAATGAGGCCCATGGGAAAGATTACAAAGTAATCTAAAATTTTGGCATCAGCTAGCAGTACATAAGGTTTCTCCATCCTCAGCTCTGTCCTGCGAGCTAAGGAGGGAGAAAAACAAGGGGACTGTCCTGGAGGTGTGGACATGCCAATCACTGAGTCCACCAACTGGCCACACCCCCGCCCCGTCTGCATATCCACTGACTTACCGCCTCCCCCAGGGGGCAGCTATTTAAGGGGAGCTGGAGTTCAGAGTGAACAGGGCAGTCACTTGGAGCTATCAGATCAGGCTTTCTCTGAGAGGTAAACACTCAGAAATTCATGCCCTGTCAGGAGCATGAGTTCCTGCTGCAGTGTACATACATGTGCATGTGTTTATGCATGTGCATGTGGGCACACATGAACTTAAACATGTGTGCACATGCGCTGGGTCTGTGTGCACAATTGTGTTGTGTGGATGTGGGAGTGTAGTGCATGAAGGGAGGCCTGCACTGTGGGTGAGCTCGAGAATGTGTGTATGCATGCATATATGTGTGAGTATATATGCATTTGTGCATATGTGAGAATATATGTTTAAGGGGCTGGAAAGTCTTGCAAAGAGAGGGTGCTGCTTTAGTTTTAGAGAAAAATATTGGGGATTGGACTCCATGGGTGGAATTCCCAAGCCTTGAATCACCTGGATCAGGTAAGAAACATCTAATGGGGGGTACACAACCGATGACCTTGGGAACCTCCAAGTTGGTTGAGATGGCCTGGTTGCAACATCCAGGAACTCTCAGTCTGATGGGAGCATGGAGGTCTCCTTAGTGTACCACGTGGGGTTCTCTTCAGATCTGAGGCCCACATGCGTGTGAAGACATTCACAGAGCTGGGAAGGGTCAGGAAGTCCTGCGTGCGCACACTCGTGTGTTCTGTGGGTGACGAAGGCAGTCATCCTGGACTGAGGAGCATGTCTACGTGTTCCCTTGAAGATTCCTTTCTTCTGGGCTGCCTAGTGCAAGCTGGAGAGCAGGAGGCCAGGGCAGATGCTGGGACCACCTGGGAGAGGAATTTAGGCCAACCCACCTGCATTTCTCCCACAGGGAACTGTCAACATGAAGACCCTTCTGTTGTTGGCCTTGACCATGGCCTTTGGTAAGAGCTGACCTCTGGCCACAAAGGGGGAGCCCAGGAGGGAAGCACCCTCAGGCCCAGCTTTCCTTCCCGTTTGGGAAGGCCCTCTCTCAGTGGGTGAGAGAGAGGTCATGGGGAGGGGAGGTAGCAAAGAGGGGCAGAGAAGGCAAACACAGGGCCGCAGGCCCCATCACCGAGCGATTCCCTTCCAGGCCTGCTGCAGACCCATGGGGTTTTACATGACTTCCGGAGAATGGTCCATTTGCTGACAGGAAAGAATTTTGTGTCCAGTTATTCCTCCTATGGTTGCTACTGCATCACGGGTGGCAAAGGACTCCCCAAGGATGCGACAGATCAGTGAGGCCACCCCAGCCCTCCCGTCCCTCTGCCCACTCATGGTTCCCACAGGGGTGGTGCCCATTGTTACAGAATCCCAGGAGGTCCTGGCTGGAAAAGCAGCCAGCACATTGGAAAGCCACTGTGTCTCTGCTCAGGGTCAAGGGGGCGAGACCACGGGCACCAGGCTGGCTGGAGCTGTGCGGAAACGGCCCCAATAACATAGTCTCGTCACAGGTGCTGCGCCACACACAGCCGTTGCTACCACGATCTGCAGAAACAAAGGTGTGGCACCAAGGGTGTGAGGTACACGTTTACTTACCAAAAGGGCCAAATTATCTGTGGTAAGAAAGAGTCCTACAACTTCACCCCATCTCCTTTGTTTCTCTTTCTGAATGTCTGTTGTGCCAGGTGCTGTGCTGGGCATCAGAGATAAGGACTCAAAGGGACAGTGGCCCTGCCTCAGGGAGCTCAGAAGCAAGTGGGAAGTCAAGAAAATGAAAAGACAGTATGGGAGACTAAAAGAGGAAGTAAGCAAAAGGGCAGGGCCCTGAACACGGGCTGAGGTTCGGAAAGGCTGCTGGATGCGGGGACATCCACGCTGAGTCTTCAGGGATGTGCAGGCATCAGGGGAGAGGTGGGTTTGGGAGAATTCCTCCAAGAGGGCCCAGCAGAGTCAAAGGGACCCAGGCAAACTGTAACAATTCTGCGAGGCGGGAGGAGGTGGAGTGGTGAGAAACGACGCTGAAGGAAGGGGAAGGGGCTAGATCAAGCCCAAGGCCATACAGTGTTTAGATTTTGTCCTGGAGCAGTAAGGCGCTCTTGAGCAAAGGAGTGACATGATGGCATTTCGGAAGACTCACCCCAGCTGCAGGGTGGATGGCGAGACCAGTGGAAGAGGGGAGCAGTGAGAAGACCATTGCCATTAGACATAGGATACGGCGGTCTTGACGGAAGGGGTGGAGAGTGACATTAAGATGCATTGCAGGTAGAGTCGGCCAAGCTTGGTGATCGGCTGGGTATGGGGAGAGGGAGCTGTTGAGTGGGCACACAACTGTGTGAACGGAACAGGAGGCTGTCCTGGTGGGTGAGGGGAGGGGGAGTTCAACGTCGAGCATGTTTAAGAGGCTTCCGGCACACCCAGCAGGGCATGAAGCAGGCAGCGGGGTGCAGGAACGTGCTGCTCCAGGGAAGGGTCGTTCAGGAGTAATCTCCTATTTGGTGTTTAAAGGCTCAGAAGAAAGAGAGAGGAGGGGTTAGTCAGAGAGGGGGGAGGAGGGACGAGAAAGAAGGGCATGGAGTCAACTGCGGCCAATTTCACAGTGGAGTCTCCAGGATAAGAGCTGACAAGGCTCCTCAGATTCAGAGTCAGGAAGACCACTGAGGATTTCAGTGGGGGCTGTTGCCACGGAGTGTGAGGGTCAAGCCAGATTAGAGAGCGTGGGGAGCAGGCAGAAGGCAGAGAGTGAAACTGAGGCGGTAAGTATAGACAACATTCTGGAGCAAGTTTGGCTCTGAAGGGAAGGAGAAAGCTGGGTGGGTCCTGAAAAGGTTTGCCCAGTGCCCCCAGGCCACGGATCCCCAGGTGAGCGTCATCTTTTGAGAGAGCATCTTCTCTCACCCCACACCCTGAGCTCTTTAAGATCAGAAATTATGTCTCCCAATCATGACCTCTCCATAGGGTCCTATATTTTAGCAGGCTTTGGGTTGCAAGGAACAAGATGCCCAACTGAATGAGGCCTGGATAACGGGGAAGCCTGACTTTGACAGAACAGAGATCTGGGAGAGGGCGGTGCCAGGACTGGGGCAGTTTCTCAACCGTGTCATCAGGGACCCAGCCTTTCCCCACCTTCTGCTCCACTGTGCTGGCGATGTGACGCCAGGACACATGGTGCCACTCCAAGCACCATGGCCTTACCCTTGGACATCTCTCTTTTTGAGGGATGAAATCGATCCTTCCCACAGTCCCCAGGAGCCTTCCCCTTGTTGCTCATTGGCCAGAACAAGGTCATGTGCTACCCAGAGACCAATCGTTGAAAGGAAAAAAAGATGAGCATGCCTGGCTTACACCAATCACAACCCATTCCCAGGCCCCAGAGGCTGGGGCTTTGCACCTGGACACATCTGTTGGGCAAAAGAAAGAAATAATGACTGTCGGGAAGGCCTTTAGGAGTCTCCCAGGGCTTGGGTGCTGGTGTGCTCCCATCAGACTGGGTGCTGGCTTCCCAATGATGGGAACTCTGTCTTCCCACCTGTCAGAAATCTGGGGCTTAGGTGCGTGTCTCAGGCCAGAAGCTTCTGGAGGGCGGGGGCTGTCTTTTCCCCGCAGGGTTCCCACAAGGAGCCATAACATATTAACAACCCCCCATTTGGTGTTTATTTTCTTGTGATTTCAGCAAAACAGAACTTCTGTAGGCGCCAATTGTGTCAATGCGATCGAACAGCTGCCATGTGTCTTGCGAGAAACCTGAAAAGCTACAGTAACAAGTACAAAAACTACAACAAAAGTCGGTGCTGTGGGAGGGCCCACAATTGCTGAAGGCCCCCTTACCCTGGAAGCCATCGCCACAGACGCTGAGTTTCCTTCTCTGGCCCGCACCCCTTCAGCACCCTAGCTAGCTTCCCCCCACCCCACCCCCAGCAACGAAGCCTGACAGAAATACCCTCTCCCATCCTGGAGACAAGCCAGGAGCCCTTCAATCCCAGAAAGAAGACTTCCACCCAGAACGCGAAACCCTGAGGCTTGTATTCCTTGCACCTTGTCCTCCACATCCTTCGGTGGCAGGAGAGTTCTCCATTCCCACTGTTCTCCGAGTCCTGCTGACTGCTTAGCAGTGGCAGCTACACTCCCAGGGGCTCTTCTAAATAAAGCAATTCATTGGCAGGCAGTGTATGTGAGTGTGTGTGAGAGAAAGAGAGAGAGGGAGGGAGGGAGGGAGAGAGAGAGAGAGTACCTGGCGCAGTTCTTTTTGACAGTCTTTTTCATCAATGCTTTTGTTTCATTTCACGCCCTGTTCAACAAATATGTACCGACCGGTATGAGGCAATATAGTGTAGGGGGTTAAAAATAGAGACTCCGGAATCAGACCAGATGAGTCAAATCCCCCAGCACCAGCGCCCTGAGGCTTTCTTCCCTCACCTAAATGGAGATAGCTTTGGTACCAACTGCATGGGCTTGCTGTAGAATTAAAAGAGATACCAAATGTAAAGCACTGGGTCAGGCACAAGAGAAACCCAGCTGGCCTTCACTCCTTCCCCTGGACAAGAGCAGCTCCTGCTGGCCTATTGGGGGAAAACAGGACAGTCGGTCTTGTTTTGAGAGCTGTAATTCACATCCTCCACGTGCTCTGTTCTTCTCCTGTGTTGCTACCCTGGAGAAGGTGGGTTTTTGTAACGCTTGCCACCAGCTACATCCTGGGGCATTTTCCCCTCACCTAGGGCTGGCTTCCTGGGATGTGACCCGTGCAGAGTCCTGCAGGGCCTCGTGGTCCAAAGGACACCACGCACAGTTGAATGCTGTGCCCCAGCCATCTCAAAATTCATAATAACATAGGGTCCCACTTTTTATCTTGCACTGGGACCCATAAATGATGTAGCAGGAGAGAAGCTGCTGCTGCCTCTCCTCTCACCAGGGTACTGCTGGGACCAGCCACTCTAACCGTCATCCTCAGGGCTGCTGAGCATGGATCCCTGCACAGAGGCACCCTGCTTGAGGGCACACGTGGAGGCTGAGCTCTCACCCAGGCACAACTCAACACATCTGCAGTGACCCAGAGGTGGTGCCTTTTTCTAATTTTGCATAAAAACGCTTCATTTGCTGGCAGCAGCCCTGAGCATGTCCACAGTCACTCGTAATAAGAGAAATGCAATTTAAAACTCCACCGAGATATCATTTTTATGTTATTAAAATAGATACAAATCCAAAAGTATGACAACCTGCTCTGTGGGCAAGGCTCCTCTGCAGCTGGTGGGAAGTCAGTGTGCCCACAGAGGGCCCACTGGCATATCTATCAAAAATAAGTGTGTTTATCCTTTGGCTCAGCGATCCCTCTTCTAGAAAGTTACTCTATGAAGGCACACAGGCGCACACACACACACAGGCCCATGCACAGTGATTCATGAGAAATTTTTTTATTGCCACATTATTCTAAATTGGGTTGTAAATAGCCCAATTGTCCACGCAGAGCGGACACATTCGTTAAACGATGATGCAACCTCAAAATGGAATGCACCTGTTTAATGAGGGAAGCTGTCTCTGTTGCAGTGTAGTAAGTCTCCAGCATGGCAGCAAGTGAAAGGAACAAGGTGAAGGGCAGTATGGGCAGCGAATTACATTTATGTAGGAAAGGGTGGAGATGTGAATGTGTATGTGCTGATATTGCCATAAACCTCCAAGGACACACAAGAAGTTAATGAAAAGGTTTACCTGCAAAGAGAAGTGCTAGGGTGGCAATGAGCATCACAAGCACATTCCCCTCCCTAAGACAGATGCTAAGCGTCAGGGACAATATAGTCTAATCCTAGGATTGGCAAACTATGGCTAGTTGGCCAAATTTATCTGCTGCCTGGTTTTGCACAGCTTACAAGCTGTGTAAGAATGGTTTTTACATTCTTAAATGGTTGGAAAAAAATCCAAAGAAGGATAACATTTGTCACACATTAAAATTATATGAAATTCACATTTTAGTAGCAATAAATAAAGTTTGGCCCTGACTGGTGTGACTCAGTGGATTGAGGGCCAGCCTGCAAATCAAACGGTCATAGGTTCGATTCCTACCCAGTCAGGGCACTTGCCTGGGTTGCAGGCCAGGTCTCTAGTTGGGGGTGAGCGAGAGACAACCGATCGTATTTCTCTCTCACACATCGATGTACTCATTCTCCCTCCCCGCCCTTCTCTCTTTAAAAATAAATAAATAAAATCTTTTTTTTTAAAAAGCATAAAATAACTTTAAATAAATAAATAAAATTTGATTGTAACACAGGCATAATCTTTGATTTATGTATTGTCTGTGACGGCTTGCATGCCGTGATAGCAGAATTGAATAATTACAACCCTGAATGTCTGTCTCTCTACTGAAAGAGTTGGCTGATTCCTGGTCTAATTAGCTCTTTTTCAAACTATCCCTGGTCTTTTATCTGTCCCAGATCCCTACTTTTGCAAAATAAAAGGCATACCAAATATAAATCCAAACGTTTTGTTATTCGATTTGATGAACATAAAATCACTCTGTCAGGTTGCTTTGAAATTGCTAAACACTGGCTCTCAATCTCTGTGTGTGCCTCACTGTGGCCAGAAATACTTGTTCTGGCCCATGGACCCCACTGTGGGAAGCACTGATCCAACCTGTACTGAGGAAAATCAAATGCCCTTTTATAAAAATTTTAATTATATTTTATTGATTATGCTATTACAGTTATCCCTATTTTCCTCCCTAGCCCCCTTCCACCCAGCACCCCCTACATCCTCAGGCAGTCCCCAACCATTGTTCATGTCCATGGGTCATGCATATAAGTTCTTTGGCTACTCCTTCTCCTATACCGTACTTTTCATCCCCAAGCTATTCCGTAACTACCAATTTGTACTTCTTAATCCCCTCACCTCTTCATCCATTCCCCCAAACCCCGCCTCCCATCTGGCAACTATCAAAATGCTCTCTGTATCCATGATTCTATCTCTGTTCTTCTTGCTTGTTTAGTTTGTTTTTTAGATTCAATTGCTGATAGATATCTGTATATTGTCATTTTTATTTTTTCATAGTTTTGATCATTTTTTTTCTTAAGTAAGTCCCTTTAACATTTCATATAATAATGAGTTGGTGATAATGAACTCCTAAAGTTTTTTCTTATCTGGGAAGCTCCTTATCTGCCCTTTGATTCTAAATAATAGCTTTGCTGGTGGAGCAATCTTGCCTGCAGGTCCCTGCTTTTCATGACTGAATATTTCTTGCCAACCCCTTCTTGCCTGCAAAGTTTCTTTTGAGAGATCAGCTGACAATCTTTATGGGAACTCCCCTGGAGGTAACTAACTGCTTTTCTCTTGTTACTGTTAAGATTCTCTATTTATCTTTCACCTTCGGCATTTTAATTATGTTGTGTCCTGGTGTGGACCTGTTTGCATCCATCTTGTTTGGGACTCTCTCTGCTTCCTGGACTTGCAGGTCTATTTCTTTCATCAAATTAAGAAAGTTTTCTTTCATCATTTTTTCAAATAGATTTCCAATTTCTCGCCCTTTCTCTTCTCTGTCTGGTACTCCTATGGTCAAATGTCAGTACACATGAAGTTGTCCCAGAGGCTCCTTTGCACTATCCTGATTTGGGGGGATTCTTTTTTCTTCTTGTTGTTCCAATTGGTTGTTTTTGCTTCCTTATGTTCCAAGTCATTGATCAATTATTGGCTTCATACACTCTATTGTTGTTTCCCTGTAAATTGTTCTTCATTTCAATTAGTGTATCCTTTATTTCTTCCTGGGTCTTTTTTATTCTGTTGAAGGCCTCACTAAGTTCCCTGAGCATCCTTATAACCAGTGCTTTGAACTCTGCATCTGACAGATTGCATATCTCCATTTTGCCTAGTTCTTATTCTGGAGTTTTGATCTGTTCTTCCATTTGGGCCATGTTTCTTTGTCTCCTCACTTTGGCAGCCTGCCTGGGTTTATTTCTATGTATTAGGTAGAGCTGTTAAAAAATCCCTGTCTTAGTAGCATGGCCTAATGTAGTATGTGTCCTGTAGGGTCCAGTGGCACCCAAGCTAAGCCACTCAAGGTGTGCCCTCCATGCAGGCTGAGTATACCTTCCTCTTGAAGTTGAGCCTTGATTGCTGTTGGCAGATTAATAGAATGGATTTACCCAGGCCATGCAGCTGCAAGGACTAGCTGTGACCTCTGACCACCAGCGTCTGCCCTCTGTGGAGGATCAGCTGTGCAGAAGCAGGGTGGTGGTGCTACCCCATGGTCTATAGCTGTCCACTGGGTGTGCAGGCTCTGGGGTTTCCTGGGTGGTGTAGGCCAAGGTCAGTTACCACCTGTGTTCTGCCAGGACCACCTGGCATGAGCTACAAAGCAGTCTGCAGATGGCTGCTACTTGTGCTGGGCTTGGAGATTCCCAGGCGAAGCCAAGCTGTGACCCAGTGCCGGCTGCTGCTAGAGACAGGCCTGTGGCCACTTAGCTAGAGGTACAGGGGCTAGGGACTTACTGAGGCTGGCTATTCCTGTTAGAGAGAATTTAGGAAGATGTGAAGCATGAGCTAAGACAAGCCATTCATATGGGAAAACCGCTATTATCATCCTGGGTGGGCCCAAAAATTTGGTGGAGCAGAGCCTCAGGTAATCTCCAGGGCAGGGCTAACCAGGGGAGCCAGGTTGATGAAGTCTCAAATACAGCACCCGCAGGCTGGCTCTGTGCAGGGAGAGGTCAGAAAAGGAACAATGGCCTCTACCCAGCTTTCTGTCTGGGAGAAAGGGGTCCACCAGCTCTTGCCCTGATGTCAGATACTTCAGTTCCTCCCCATATGCCACTGGTGCCTTTGAAACTGCTATCCCAGTGCTGGATCTCAGAGAAAGTGAGTCTGAGTAAGTCCGTGCATGGGCCCTTTAACAGGAACTGCTTAGGAATCCAGTAGTTTCTTCCAGCGGCTCAATCTCCACTGAATTTTATAGCCAGAAGTTATGGCGGCTTATCTTCCTGGCACTGGAATCCTGGGCTGGGGGGCATGGTGTGGAGTTGGGATCCCTCATTCCCAAGATATCCCTTCTGAATTTTTATCCACTGCTCATAGGTGTGGGACCAGCCTGGTCTGATTCTCCACGTTTCCGCGTCTCCACGCCTTCTACCAGTGTGGATGAATGTGGTTTCTTTAGTTCTGTATTTGGGCTTCCATTCA